GTTGTCAGACTTCCATGCAGTTTGATTTTCTGTCATTTCTGGTTGTTTTTGTTTTTAAAGTTGTTGTTATTCTTTTGTTTGTGTGAGGAGGCACAGTGTATCTACCTATGTCTCCATCTTGGAGGGAAGTCTCATGTTAAATGTTTTTTTTAAGGTTTTCTAGAAGTTTTTAAAGTATTTTAAAAATTATACTGTAACAGTGAAGTCTTACAAAGATGTTTTAGGATTATATCATAGCAAGCAATTGTTTACTTGGATAAAAGGATATGCTAAAAGACAAATAAATAACTATCATTAAGCATGCATGGCTTATTGACATTTCTCTTAAAACAAAAAAATTGGGTTCATCCAGTGAAGTATAGGCATTCTGCCCCCACCTTAGATAGCAAATCGAATCAGGTTTTAAAAATTACCATGATCTTGAATGTGTTGTTAAATGTTAAAGGGCTTTTGCTTTCCTGTTAGTCACTAAATTTTTCAAGAAAAATTCCCCTGCTTTATATGAAGAACACACCAGGGGCCACTTGCAGTATAATGAAATCCAAGTTCATTTCCTACTTTTTTTCAGTATTTGAACTTTTCAGAAGTAATGTATTCTTGGACCTTAATGTGAAACTTTGTTGGCTGCATATATTGTCCTAAAGGCAAATTGTTCACATTTGCCTCGTGAAGAGCTTTCATTGTTGCGTATGCTAGCTTGTCATTCTAGTCTAATCCCAACATTATAGACATTTTAGAAATCACAACAGGCTGCACCTTCTTAGGGAGCTTCAGTACACATAAAGACTGGTCGAAATTGGCCCTGGGACCATGAATTTTCCTTTGTAATTCTGGAACTGTTTCTATGTTATGTGTATACACATCTAATCCTGACAGAGTGACCTTTTTGTATTGCTTTTAGATCTCAAAAGTTTGGGGTGAGACATTCCATAAGAATTTTTGGATTTCTTTTTTTTTAAGTATAATTCAGTCTTTGCAAAGTGCTCAGCTCCTCCATCAGGCATATCATCTTAATGCACATATGTCAGGGCAATATAATCCAAACCCCACTCTGCAATTGCCTTTGCAGTATTGTAGGGCTCATTGGCATCCAGTGGAGGTGGCTTTTTGCAGTCTTAACAGAACAAAATCTACAACGTCTTGTACATGTATCACCTATCAATATAATTGTTGCTGTGGCAGTGGCATACTCTCCCCCTCCCCAACACTCTCCACTATTGGGACATCACACCTCCTCACACACTGTGAGAGAGATTTAAATTCCGCAAAGTATTTTTCAATCTATTGTAATTTTTCCCCACGTGAATCTTTGTCTTTAGACATGGGGGTAGTCTTAACCTTTCTCCTTTCTGGTGTTTTAAGTTTCCTTTATATTCACCCAAGGTGCTCCTGTCTGCAAGATCACCAGATACAAAATCTTGAAGGTCTTGTCCATTCTGTAAAGATTCGTTTTTCTATCTGGCAAGAAACTAACTGCTTTGACTGGACTGTACAAGTATTTTCCAAATTACTAGGGCCTTATGGTGCAGAGGATGATCCCACAGCATAGAGACGTCTCCCTCTTTCGTTTTCTAGCAGGGTCAAGAGATTAATTCCCAGAAAAAGATATCATGTTAAGTGTTCTTATCACAGTAAAAAATGATATGCCCTGATATATGTGTGTGTGTATATTATGTGTTTCAATTATTTTTACTGATTTATATTTATATACAATGTACAATTAATATACAAGAAAATCTACTCATTTTACATAAATAGTTCAATGAATATAGTCGTGTAAGTGTCACAACTGAGGACATTTCCATTTATCATGTCACTTTGCAATCATTTTTCTCTTACTCCTTAACAACCACTGAACTGCTTTCCTTATAGATTTGCTTTTAGAAGAATTCCTTACACACTATGTAGCATTTGGGAGTGACTTCTTTTGGTTACATAATGGTTTTAAGAGTCATCCCTGTTGCATCAGGAGTTTGTTTTTATTGCTGAAAAAGTATTTTATTGAATGCATATTTCACAATTTATTTACTCATTCACCTACTGATGGACACTTAATGTTGGTTTTGTTTTGAATATTATGCTTATTATGAATAAACCTGCTATGAGCATTTACATAAAGCCTTTGGATAAACATATGTTTTGTGGACCCTGAGGAAGAATATACCATTGAAAAGAGCTCCTGGTGGCTAACTGGTCTCAAATTTTAAAAAACAGGGCCTAGCAGCCTTTTCTAAATGTACCACTTATACAAGCTGCAGTTCAGAGAGAAGCTTGAACTACCTGGCTATGCACTGAACTGCCTGCCTGCTGTTGTGTTCCTGCCATGTAAGCCAGTCCTTTAAAGGAGGTCATGGAATTGTATTTCAACCAATAGGACTGAGGCTTTTTCTATTCAGTTGGAGCAGGGCAACTACATACCCACCCCCATCAACTTCTTCATCAACCAATCAGAACTACTCCATTCTGACCAATCAGTAGAATGCTTTTTGGATGAATCAAACTGTGAGGATTTGAAGTCCTCATTGCTTGAAGATGAACCAATCAGAGACCAGGGACAGGAACTTCTGTTCATCTGTCATCTTCTTTCTGGATCTGAGAACACACTCTTCCTTTCCACTGAAAACGGTAGATTGTGTTTTCCCATTTAGAGTTGAAACATGGAAGATAAAGCAGGGGTGTTGCATCAGAACAGAGAGAAGGAAAAGAGCTGCCTAGCTGGAGAGGGGCCTTGTCCCAGGCCCCCCTAGCAGCTCAAATTCTGAATCACAATTGATCTGTTCCACAGCTGAGCTATATATGTCACAATTGAGCTGTTTGCACTGAATAAAATTTCCATCTTCCCTGTACTCCAAATGTGGGATTCCTGTTGGTGTTGAATTGATGCCAACAAACTTCAGTTGACAGTTTTTACACCTAGAAGTAGGATTGTTAGGCTGTATGATGTGTGTATCTCACTTTATTTATAAGAAACAGCCAAACTGTTTTCCAAATGGCTATTTTACATTTCTGTCAGCATCTTGTAGTAAAATGTAATAACTTTTCAGTTCATGTTTTTAATTTTTTACTACACATATGTATCTACAAATCATATACAGTTTTGCGTCATTCCTTATACACAAATATACTGTACTGCAACTTGCATTACTTCATTATTTTTTTTAACTTGCATTTTTTATTCCACATTTTGAGATCTGTCTATGTTGCTATATGGAACTGATTTAATTTTGTGGTGTTCCATTGTCTATTAAATATGTCATAAATTTTAACCCATTCTTTTATTCATTGACTATTTGTTTTCAGTTCTCTGAATGCTCTATTATATATCTTTGCCTATGTTTTCTTGGGTCACTTGTCCTTTTATTTCTAGTGCTTCTTTATATAATTTGCACATGGGTGAGGCAAAAGTAAGTTTACAGTTCATACGAAAAATGATATACTAATTAATAAATAATAATACAAGAGTACACTCCGTGTTTCACATACTCACTACTACAAACCTACTTTTGCCCTACCCTGTATTTATTTGTTGACTACATTAGGTTACAAAAAAATTTCTCTGAATCTGTGGATAACCTTTAAGTTTATTTATGCTGTATCATATTGCACAAAAGTTTTTAATTTTAAGGTAAATATATCAGTTTTTTTAATAGGCCTTTTTGATTTTTGGTTTTAAGAAGTCTTTTCTACACTAAGGCTACAAAGATAGCCTTACACAATTAAAAGATTTTAATTTTGTTCCAAAAAACTGAAGTTTTGCTTTTCATGCTTACATTTTTAATTTATCTGGAATGTAATTTTGTACGGTATAATGTAGTGGTCTACCTTAATGTTTTTTTTCAAATGGAAAAGTCAGTTGTTTATGAGCATGTTTAAAGTTCTGTGTATTAGTTGCCTAGTGCTGCTGTAACAAAGTACCACAAACTGGGTGGCATAAAAAATAGAAATCTATTCTCTCAGAGTTCTGGTGGCTGAATGTTTGAAATGTGTCAGCAGAATCATGTTCTCTCTGGAGACTCTAGGCACAGGTGGCAAACGCAAGGCCCTTGGGCTGAATTCAGCCCTCCATCTTGTTTTATCTGGCCTGGCACCTTATTTCTATACGACAGAAGCATTGAGCTCCTTGTCCCTAGTTAAGGAGTAGTTATATTTATACAGTTCTAAAATTACATTTGGCCCCTTGAAGGCAATCACGAAGCTGATGTGGCCCCTGGTGAAAATGAGTTTGACACCCCTGCTTTAGGGAGAATCTGTTTCAAACTTTGTTAGCTTCTGGTGTTGACCATTGATGGTGTTTCTTGGCTTGCAACTGCATAACTCCAATTTCTTCCTCCCCTGTAACATGGTATTCTCCCTTTGTCTGTCAGGATCTCTGTATTTCTTCTCTTTGGAGCTAGTTTGTCTATAGATTTCCTCATTCCTGCTCTGCCAGGGTCAGGTCTGGGCCGGTTGCCTTGAATCCAGTGTATGAAGGTCATGGTACACTCTGGGACTGCCAGTCCTCTCTTTCTTTTCTTTTTATTGTGTTGTTGCACTAGCTGGAGCATCTGGAAAAAAGTTGACTAGAAGAGGTGAGTAGACATCTGTCTTCTTCCCAATTTTAAGAGAGGGGTTCTTTATTTAACCATGAAGTATGATGTCAGATATAAGTTCTTCCTTAGAAGCCTTTTATTAGGCTGAAGATGATCCTTTTAATTCCTAGTCAGTTGAGCCCTGGCTGGTGTAGCTCAGTGGATTGAATGCTGGCCTGCAAATCAAAGGGTTGCAGGTTTAATTCCCAGTCAGGGCACATGGCTGGGTTGCCAGCCAGGTCCCCAGTGTGAGGTGTGCAAGAGGCAACCACACATTGATGTTTCTCTCCTCTTCCTTCCTCTAAAAATAAAATATTTAAAAAAATTCCTAATCAACTTAGGTTTTAATCATGAGTGAGTAAACTTTTTTCTTATATTGAATTTCTTATTGAAGGTTTTATTGTTTTTTTATACATTTTTTTACTGTTCAAGTACAGTTGTCCCCATTTTCAACCTACCACACCCCCTGCAGCACCCATCCCTGATCCCCACCCTAGAACCTACCCTCTTTGGCTTTTTCCATGTGTTCATTATACATGTTCCTTGGTGACCCTTCCTGCATTGTCCCGTTATCCCTCTCCCCCCTCCTCTCTGGTTAGTGCCAGTTTGTTGTTTATTTTAATGTCTATGGTTGTATTTTGCTTGCTTGTTTATATTGTTGATTAGGTTCCACTTATAGGTGAGATCATATGGTATTTCACTTTCACTGCTTGGCTTATTTCACTTAGCATAATGCTCTCCAGTTCTATTCATGCTGTTGTGAATGGTAGGAGCTCCTTTTTTTCTGCTGCATAGTATTCCACTGTGTAAATTTACCAATTTTTTGATCCACAATTAGTGAATTTTTTCAAATGCCTTTATGTATCAAATAGAGTATTATATGGTTTCTCTTTTGAGTCTATTAAAGATGAAATACATAGACTTTGAATGCTAAAGCAAACTTGCATTTCTAGGATAAACCCTATTTGATCCTGTGTTGACACCCTTTATAAATTGCTATTTCAGTTTGCTATTTTTACATTTATGTTCATGAGATATATTGACATGATTTTTCTTTCTTGAGGTATCTCTGTCTGGCTTTGGTATGTGGGTAATATTGGCTCATAAAATGTGTTGAAAGTGTTTTTTCCTGGAAGAGTTTATATAGAATTGTTATGTCTTTTTAAAATGCTTGGTATAATTACTTGTGCCATCTGGGTCTATACTTGTGTGTGTGTGTGTGTGTGTGTGTGTGTGTGTGTGTGTGAAGGTTGTCAGGTACAAATTCAATTTATTTAATAGGGCTATTCAAGTTTTCCCTTGGCAGTTCATGCCTTTTCAAGGACTTTTTCAATTTCATCTAAGTTGTTGCATTTATTAGCAACAAGATGTTAATAGAATTTCACATTGCTTTAGCTGCAGCCACAAATTTTGATATATACTTTCAATTTAAAGTATTTTCAAAGTTTTTCTCATTACTTCCTCTTTAGCCTATGGCTCATTTAGGAGTATGTTCTTTAATTTCCATATATTTGGGGATTGTTCAGATATTACTGATTTCTAACATAATTCTGTTATGATGATAGATCATGTCTTATATGATTTCCATTCTTTTAAGTCTTCTGAAACTTGTTTAAGCCCCAAAATGTGAATGTGTAAAGAATATGTATTATGCTGTTGTTGGGTGGTGTTCCAGAAACACCAGTGAAGTTAATTGAAAATCTTATATATCTTAACTGATTTTCTATTCATTAGTGCTATGGATAACTTATATATTGAAATATCTAATTGAAAATTTGCCTATATCCATTTAAATTTTACTCATTTTTATTTTATAAATTCTTCACCTCTGTAAATGTATTGGAACTAGAAAATAGTTGTTTTGTTTTTGATTCCCAAATGCAAAGATACAGAAGTCCCTCCCTTGGGTTCAATTTCTGCAGAGAATAAACTTCTCACCTCTCGAAGGAGGGTAAATCCCTGGTTGACTGTGCACAAGTGTTGGGGGAGAAGGATGTGTATGGGTGAGAGGAATGTTCCCATATGCAACTGGCCGTTCATACTACTTTCCTTCCATTATTCCATTTCTATTAGGCATTTCTGAGTCTGCAGCCAAACTGGTCCCTTCTCATCCTTATCTTCACATGCAAGCAATATAAATGGTGCCTGCTTCTGCTCAGATATAGCTATCTTCCTTCTGTCTTTCAATTTTTTTTCCTGTGATCTCATTTGCTAATATTTCTCCTGTTTTTATTGCTGTGGTTTTTAAATTAAAAAATATTTTCTAACATATTAACTGCTGTCCAGGGGGATCAGCTGTGTTTAATAGAAGCACATTTCCTAGTCCCTTCTCTGCTAGCCATTTTGCTTAGTTGACCAAACCCTGACATTTCTGCAGTCCCTTTTGATCAGTTGCCACGTGCTTCCTATGCATTAGCTTTTCCCAGTTCTACCTCTTATACCTGCTTGTTGGTATCACCTGCTCTAAGGTACCAACCTAATATCAGTTTTACTCTGGCAACATGTTTCTTTGGACTTCCCTTGCTTTCATTACATAGGGTCCAGCCTTGCATTCCATGCTGTTATGAACTTTTCTTGCCAATAAAAGTATAGTGAAGAAAGATGAGAGCTGTAAAAGTGAACTTCTATGTTTTTGGTTGTCAGTGGGGGTCACTGGAAAAGAAGAATTAAAAATATTCTAATTTGGAACTGTGACTACAAGTGATGATCACATATTCACCAGTATTTTGACCTGACAATATTAAACAACCTACATAGAAGGCAAATATCATCATTGAATAGGTAAGAATTTTAAGAATAAAAGCTTGTCTCCAGTACTCAGCAAGTAATAATCTACAAAAGAGATCCTTTGCTAGTGACAGAATTATCAATTGACTAAAATGATTACTGAGACTACCAAAACTACCCAAACATCCTTGTTCAAAATCAACCAGCACTGGTAAAGCATCAAGCTTAGGGCAGCAATAACAATGACAACAAGAAGCCTAGGGCAACCCCTAAACTCTGAAAACAAGTGAGTTTTCAACAATCCTAATACACATCTTTTTTTTTTTTTTCCATTTTCACATGTCTGAAATTGAGGTATGTGAAAAAGCAACCATAAGTGTTTCTCCCCCCCCCCATCCATGGGATCTTAACATCTGATGGAATGTGACATCCCATTGCTCTTTCTGCATTTTCATGCACAACTCCCTCTTTTTCTAAAATATTGGCTTCCCCAAACTTCCTTTCCATAATCCCTGAAATGCTCCCCAAGGACTCTGATCACATTTCAGTTCTATTAAGGTAATGCTTAAAAGAGAACAGTAAAATCTAAATGTATTTACAAACACTGATAACTTAAGATACATATAAAAGGAAATCAGGAAAAGCAGGCTATTTTAAACTCATTTGAGACTTTGGATATAAAAACTCAGTCATTACCCTAATCATTGTATATGGACTGCTCTGGGTTGGAGTCAAATATTCTGGGCTGTCTCTTAAAGTGGGGAAAATGTCTCAATTCGTCACCCTCCTTCATTCCTTGTTAGAAGTTAGCTATGTTTCCCCTAAATTAATGTATACTTTTTTTTGTTATCTATGTCCAGTTAACTGTTTGGCTGTATATATCAGTTATAATTCTCAGGCTAATAAATAAAGCATCCATATTTCCCCTACTGATTTTTTCCACATATGAATACTAGTCATTGGAGAAAAATAGATGGGGAAAAGTGGGAGGCCTCCTAAGTACTGCTTCAGGAATCATTAACCATCCTTCAGAAATTCAGAGCTGCAATTAAGAGTTCATCGTATGGGCCCTGGCTGGTGTGGCTCAGTGGACCGAGTGCCGGCCTTTGAACCATAGGGTTGCCAGTTTGATTCCCAGTCTAGAGCATATGCTTGGGTTGTAGGCCAGGTGCCCTGGAGGGAGAGCATGAGAGGCAACCACACATTGATGTTTCTCTCCCTGTCTTTCTCCCTCCTCCCCCGTCTCTAAAAATAAATAAATAAAAAAGAAACGTAAAAGAGCTCATTGTATGGTAACTTCTGATTTAGTTATGTATTTACAATCCCTTTTCTACTTTCTACTATTGCATGAGCTTCTTGCATTAACTGCTGCCTAACTTTTCAGGTGTCCTAGCTCCACGCCCAATCCCACCCACAGAGCAAGTGAATTTTATATGATACAATGCATATTTTAGGCCTTATATTTTCAAACCTGCTCCCTAAAAATAGTTTAAATTTTTTTATATAGTTATTTCTATATGAAGTATTTTTAGCCAAATGTAAAAATAATTTTATAAATGAGTTAGATGTCTATAATGAGGTCTAGAGTTTGGAGATGCTGCAAAAACAAATAACTTTGGGGGGGGGTAAATCAAATATTAAAACGATAAGCCTGAAGACACAAGTATCAGAAACTTTCTCTCCTGACTCCTTTGTTTTGCTTAGTATAAAACATGGTGGTCAAGAAAATTAAGGAAATTAGAAAGAAGTGTTGTGAGAGAAACTGAATTCATTTAAATATTTCAACATCATTTGACATGTTTCAACATGGTGTATGTAACCTACTTGGCTTTAGTTTGGGGGAATCATATATGGTGGTGAGATCTGGAAAAACCCCAGTAGACTAACTGCATCCATGGTACTTATGTTCCTGAGCTGCTGCTGTTTTGTGGGGAGGAGGGTTCAACATCCTGTAAAATGGTACATGGGGTGTATTACACAAGTAGCTCTTCTCCAGCTTCTTGCCAGACTGTTGTACATTTTTGCAATAAACACAATAAATTTCTATGGCCATTATATCTACAACCACTTAGGGCTGGAAAGAAATGTGAAAAACAGAAGGCACATATTTTGAAGAGAAATCAGTGTTCCATTTTCTCAGAGATTGTGAACACCAGGAAAACATGTTATGCTTAGATAAAATGTAAAGTTCTTGCTTTATAAATGCTGGGTAGGGAATATAGTTCTAATAACACTGGTTGAACTGCAGAGTACAGATGTTTTCACTCTACCTATCTAAGGAACTAGAAAAAGCAGTACATTGTATAACATAATGAAAGTTCTTGGCAATTAAATACTTTAAGTGAATGACTTCTTTTCAGTGAGGGAACATATCTTAATAACTCATTGTCTGTCTCCTTCATAGAATATATAGGGAAGAGTGATGTTAAAAATACTTAAGTCTTTAGAATATGAGTATGTAATTAAAGAGCTCTTTAACAGGGATCCTTCCGGTGAACCCGCTGGTGAATGTGGAGGTTGGAGCTCTGGCTGAAGCCCTTCCCACACTTGCTGCACTCATAGGGCTTTTCTCCAGTATGTACTCTCTGGTGAATGAGGAGTTTGGAACTCTGGCTAAATCCCTTCCCACAATTGCCACAGTGATATGGCTTCTCCCCAGTGTGGACTCTGAGATGGATGCGGAGATCTGAGCTCTGGCTGAAGCCCTTCCCACACTCATAGCACTGGTAAGGCTTCTCCCCTGTGTGTATGCAACGATGAATGTGAAGGTTCGAACTTTGACTGAAACCCTTCCCACATTCTCCACATTTGTAGGGCCTTTCTCCTGTGTGGACTCGTTGGTGGATATACAGGTTAGAGCGCTGACTGAAGCTCATTCCACACTCCCCACACTCATAGGGCTTCTCACCAGTGTGTACTCGCTGGTGGATATGCAGTTTGGAGCCCTGACTAAAGCCCTTCCCACACTTGTCACATTTATAAGGTTTCTCCCCTGTATGGACTGCATGATGCATGAGAAGACTTGAACTCCTTGTGAAGCCCTTCTCACACCTGTCACACTTATAAGGTTTTTCATCAGTGTGGATTGCTTGATGGATGAGGAGACTTGAGCTCCTTGCAAAGCTCTTCCCACACTGTTCACATTTGTAGGGCTTTTCTTCTGTGTGGTCTCTCTGGTGAAGCAGTAATTCTGAGCTCTCACTGTAGTCCTTACCACACACACTGCATTGGTATTGTTTCTCTGCAATGTGGATATTCTTACATGGAGGACTCTCTGTGCTGGTTTTAGGTGTTTTGCCAGAGTCATAATGGTTACAGGGGTGCTTCTCTGCATGAGCTCTCTGATCACTGACCACTTGGGATTCCCAACCACAAATGTCACAGTTACTGTCTAAAGGATCCAAGGATTCTTTCAATAGGTTATTCTGGCAAATTGCTTCTTCACTGAACAATGGCGAAGCCAGTCCTATTATATCAGACACAAGTTTAATATGAAGGGTCTCTGAACAATGGTCTAGTGGAGGAGGGCTTTTTTCTCCTAACACCTTTCTCTTAGTGCTTTCTCCATTTACAAATAGACTTTTGCTTTTCTGAGAATCTTGGGGCTCATTTGAATAAAATGTCACTGAGGAGTCCTGTGTGGGCATTTGGCTTGGAACTTTCAAAGACAAATATTCTTCACTTTCCATGTTTTGAAATCATCACTTTGAAGGGTCACAACACTGTCTTATATTTCTGGAACTGTTAGAAGATGCTTATCCCCAAGATATCTAGTTCAGGGTTCCTGTACACTTCTTAAAGACTCTCCAGTCATTGCACTGGCCATCTCTTCAAATCAACTAGCAGGAAAACTCTTTATGTAGTAGGTCCCTAAGCCCTTTCTCTTGAAGAGTCTTCACAGAATTTTCATTCAAGTCTCCTAGAAAACAAAGAAAATTTAGTGACAAAAACAAAGGATATACTTCAAGATTTCAGAAATTAAGTGCCTAAGTCATGAACACTTAGTAATTAGAAAAAAGTTCAGTTTTGTGCTTATAGACATGTTCTTTGGTTAAATGTCAAAGAGAAGGCTTTCCACAAGACAGAAATATTTTCTCTGCTTTTAAGCATTGTCAATAAAAGTATTCCTCCCCTAACTCTGTAGAGGCTACGTATGTCACATCTTTGCTACAAATTACATTTCTTTTCACTTTACTTCATTTTAAGCAAATTTGCATTTAATTGGTAATCCACTTTAATAGATGATGGGGATACAAGAAAGAAAACAATCTTTTAACTTAATAAGCTAGAGCCTAGTGGGAAGAAGGACAAATATATAATCAATGATAACACCATACCAGTGCTGTAGAAGAAGCAGGCACAACCAGGCATGTAAGCAGAGTAAGGGCATTAGACCCAAAGGGGCATATGTAAGGAAAACAAAAAGGGAAAATACAACATGTTTCAGATAACTATAAACAGATTCTTGTCAAATATATAAAGTAGGTAACAGCAGTAAAAAGTGTGCCTTGGAGAGAAAGGCAGGAGACAAAACAAAGGTCTTGGTGTGTACTAGGAAAGATTTAGGGCTAAATTTTCAGGGTTTTAAAGCTATTGAAGGAGTTCGACTGGGAATGAAACAGTTGAAAGTGATCAAGACTTTAGGTAGAGAGATCATTACTGTAGCAAGACAGGAGAAAAGTGGTAAAGATGATGGTTATGGAGAGAAGGAAGACAGGCATTTTAAACAATGTGGTAACTAAACAAAGAAAGGAAAGGAAACACAAAGCACAATCTCCAGTTCCTTGCCTTAGTGACTAGGTTTGGGGGTACTATGTAATAAAATAGGGAATGCAAAAGGAAAATGTTGGAACGGAGAAGGAGAGATGATGAACTCTAAGTCTAATGTTTAATTTGTGGTGCTGGTGGAATCTTCTTACAATGTTCAGTAAGCAATGATATATATGGGTCTGGAATTTCTGAAACAGAATTGTGCTAAAAATACAGATTTTAGACTTACTAGGATATACATGTTGGTCAAAACAAAGTGCATATCCTAATATTACACCTAAATGACAAAAATCTATAAAAGTCTTGGGGAAAAAAGGGATTGTCACCACCAGAATGAAAATGTCGAGGAACTCCCTAAAATAATTATAGATGGATTAGAAATGATGGAGAAACTAGAAAAAAATATGGCACAGCTCAAATCATGTACAGGAAGACTTCTGCAGGAGTGAAAGATCTTCTCAAAGAAGTACTAGAAAGTCAAAAAATTCAAATTCCAACTCAGAATCAACATTTTAAAAATAAGAGAGGTTTATCCTGGAAGTTCAGTTTTATTAATTCATGTTAGTCCTTTATGATGGCTAGACTAGCTGTTGCCATTAGCAGTACCACTTTCCCAGCCACCCTTTTCCCAACAAAAAATGAAATACTGGGTAGTTAACAGAAGTAGTCCCACACAAAATCTGAAGAAAAAAAAAAGAATAATCTGTTAAAGAAAAGAATCCCAATAATATTAGTTGAGCTGAAAAGAGAAGTTGAGGTAATGCTGAACCTGCATAATGACAGGGTTGATTAAGTTATAAAAAGAGGCAATTGACTCCATCTATGCCCAGGACAAAGCCTCAAGGTAACCCCTGAAGTGAGATTTTTGACAAGGGAAATATAACAGAGCTAGAGATCAAATTATGGCATGCCCCAGATAACTTACTTGCCTGAAAAGGTACCTACAAAAAAAAGAGTCTCCATCTACCATCTGGATTCTTATTATATCCAACCCAAGCCCAGACATTGGAGGTGTCTCTTAGAAGTATAACCTGCATGCATCAAATAGGGTTGGGTGTCAGCTGAGGATGTACATCCCCATATAATACTATGAACATAAGACTTCTGGGAAAAAATGAGACAATAAAAAATGTATGCAGACAAAAAAGTAGAATCTAAGTTCCATAGAAAGTGGCATAAACTCAAGAAATAGTGAACAGAGGACTTCCAGCCAATATGAAGGTGTAGGTGGAAACGCTGTGCTTCCCTGCACAACCAAATTTAAAGACAACAAAGTTTTAGTAACAAAAACACAGAAAACCAAACTCTACAGAAGTCCAACAACAATGAACCATTCAGCCAGACCGGTAAGAGGGGCGGAGTCAAGGGCTGGCAGAGCAGGGTCTGGCAGGAAAAAGTGGCCAGACCAACCCAGGCTCACAGGTGGCGGTTGGCAGATCCCAGATGTGGGGTGGCAACGGGTGGACCCAGTGAGGGTGCAAGACAGCTGGCTGACTGCAGTCACACATTTGAGCACAGATAAACCAGGCAAAAAAATGAGCAGTGAGACAGACTGCATGAACCAGAGCCCCAGCGCTGGGAATTAAAACCTAAAAGCGCCAATTGAAAAAACTTTTGGGGTTGAGGTGCCGGAAGAGGTTCCCAGGCTCACAGAGAGATCCTTGGAGAGACCCACAGGGTTCTGGAGGATGCATAGGCCCACATACCCAGGAACCAGCACCAGAAGGGCCCAATTTGCTTGCAGGAAGCAGCAGGGGGGACCAGAATCTGAGAGAGAGCATGGAACAAGTGCCATTGCCCCTCTCTGACCCCAGCCCCACATACAGCGTCACAACCCAGCAACTTGGTTGCCCTGCCCTGGTGAACACCTAGGGCCCCACCCCTCATATGTAACAGGTGCAAACAGACCAAGACATTATGGCTCAAAAAGAACAGCTCAAAGACCCAGAGCCAATACTTCTGAGCAACAAAGAGAAAGCCAACCTATCAAATGCACAGTTCAAAACACTGGTGATCAGAATGCTCACAGAACTGGTTAATTTTAGTCACAAATTAGAGGAACAACTGAAGACTAAACTAAGAGAAATGAAGGGAAATGCACAGGAAACCAATAGTGATGAAAAGGAAACTTGGACTCAAATCAAAGGAGTGGACCAGAAGGAGGAAAAAAATGACCAAACAGAAAAGGATGAAGAAACAAGAATCCAAAAAATGAGGAGAGGCTTAGGAGCCTCCAGGACATCTTTAAATTCTCCAACACCCAAATTATAGGGGTACCAGAAGGAGAAGAGGAACAGCAAGTGGAAAACTTATTTGAACAAATAATAAAGGAGAACTTCCCCAATCTGGCAAAGGAAATAGACTTCCAGGAAATCCAGGAAGCTCAGAGAGTCCCAAAGAAGTTGGACCCAAGAAGGAACACACACCAAGGCACATCATCATTACATTAGCCAAGATTAAAATGAAGGAGAGAATCCTAGAAGCAGCAAGAGCTAAGGGGACAGTCACCCACAAAGGAGTTTTCATGAGACTGTCAGTGGATATCTCAAAAGAGACCTTACAGGCAAGAAGGGGCTGGAAAGAGGTATTGCAAGTCATGAAATCCAAAGACCTACAGCCAAGATTGATCTATCTGGCCAAGCTTTCATTTAGAATGGAAGGGCAGATAAAGTGCTTCTCAGATAAGGTCAAGTTCAAGGAGTTCATCATCACCAAGCCCTTATTATATGAAATGTTAAAGGGACTTATCTAAGAAAAAGAAGATAAAAAAGATGAACAGTGAAAGGACAGCAAACTCACAGTTATTAACAACCATACCTAAAACAAAAGCAAACTATGAGGACAGCTAGATCATAGAAATGAAGATCACATGGAGGGTTAGCAACAGGGGAGTGGGAGGAGGAGGTGGGGGGAGAAGGGACAGAGAATAAGTAGCAAAAATGGTAGGTAGACAATAGATGGGGGAGGGCAAGAATAGTATGGGAAATAAAGAATCTAAAGAACTTGAGACACGTAGTCATAAACTGAATGGGGGGAATGGTGGGGGTGGGGGTGTGCAGAGTGGAGGGGAATGAAGGGGGGAATAGAACAACTGTAATGGCATAATCAATAAAATATATTTAGAGAAATAAATAAAAAATAAAAATGCAAAAAAACACCCCTCACAGCACACAAAAATCTTGGACGGTACAGCCTCACAGGTGAATTTTAGTAATCAAAGAAAAACTAACACCTATCCTTCCAAACTATTCCAAAAAGTTCAACATAAGGGAAGACTTCCAAACTCTTTTTAAGAGGCCAATATTTTCCTAATTCCAAAATTAGGTAAAGACACAACAAATAATGAAAATTACAGGCCTATCTCTCTTAACAAAGATGCTAAAATCCTCAATAAAATATTAGCAAAAAGGATCCAGCAATATATTAAAAAGATCATGCCCATGATGAAGTGGGATTTATTCAAGGGATGCAAGGATGGTATACTGTAAGCTAATTGATAAATGTGATATATTATATCAACATAATGAAAGACAAAAATAAATGACCATTATCTATAGATTTAGGAAAAGCATTTGAAAAATCCAGCACTATTTATGATGAAAATACTCAGCAAAGTGTGAATAGAGGGATATACCTCACATAATGAAAGCCATATATGAAAAACCTACTGCCAACATCATTTCCAAAGGGCAAAAACTGTGTTTCCCTTAAGATCAGGAACAAGACATGGGTGCCCACTTCTACCATTTTTACTCAACATTGAATAGGAAGTCCTATCCACAGCAATCAGATAAGAATAAGAAATAAAAGGTATCCACATTGGAAAAGAAGAGGTAAACCTGTCATTATTTACAGATGAAATGACACTATACGAAGAAAAGTGTATAGGCTTCACTAAAAAACTACTCGACCTGAAAATGAATTTGGC